TCTTTCACCTCTTTTGTTAGGTTGATTCCCAAGTTTTTATTTTTTTTGAGGATATTGTGAATGGGGTGGTTGTCCTCATTTCCATTTCAGAAGATTTGTCGCTGATATACAGGAATGCCTTTGATTTATGTGTGTTGATTTTATATCCTGCCACTTTGCTGAATTCATTTATTAGTTCTAGTAGTTTCTTTGTAGACCTTTTTGGGTCTGTTAGATATAGTATCATATCATCCGCAAATAGACAACACCTCTTTTAAATCTAATGATATCCTACCTAGTTTTAAAAATTTTATTGGTTCTTTTTAGTTATATACAACATTAGAATTCACTTTGACAATTATAAAATCATGGAATATAAATATTAACRAGTTTTGGTTTTCCTCTCTCTTTAATGCCTACATTCTCCCAGAATACAAATATGAAAAGAAACCCATACCCCTATTTAAAAATTCCTGCTTCATGGGACTTAGATTTTTGTGAAGAAAACACAACAAATGTATGCTCCATTAGGTAGCAAGATGTACTACGAAGAAAATTAAGACAGAATTAATGGTGTTTCGGTTAATAACAAAGAGTGAGACTTGCACAAGATGATAAGAAACAAGCTTAGGAAGGTGCCAGAGGTGATGTCTGCACAGATATTAAAGTCATAAGGAAACCGGATTTCACTTTTCATGTGATAGAAAGGAATTAAAGCTAAGAGCAGGAGAGGCACATGACTTTCTAATTAATAACAATAAAGTCATTGGGTGTAGTTTATTGACCATACTGTTTGTTATGCATAATGTTGACTTCCCSTAGTTTATTTCATTTTATTAGGTCATTATAGTTATGCATAACAATGTGGTTCATTTTGACACATTCATGATGCATATAACATAATTTGCTCCATTTTAATCCCCAATATTTCCCATTTCTCTTCCCTCCTTTCTCACCCTTATCCCCTTCTTTTATTGGTCCTCCTTCTATTTATTTATTGTTTTTTAATTGGTACATTATAATTACTAACTGATATATAAAAGTGGAATTTCTAACTGATGTATACATTGCATGAAGGAATTATTAGTCAATTGCTGACATTTGAACTGTCTTATGAATGGATGCTTAGTCTCATAGATAAACATATCATGATGAGTTATAAATAAGCAATTTATTGACATTTTACTAATCACAAGTGTTAAGCATGGCAGGGATTCATGTCGAGTCTAGGACATAAATTTTGTTAGAAAAATTAATGGAAGGCCAGAAGAATGAATTAAAGATCTAAAGTGAGAGGCTGGGGTTGTGGCTCAGTAGCACAGCACTTGCTTAGCATGTGTGAAGCACTGGGTTTGATTCTCAGCACCACATTAAAAAAAAGGTCCACTGACAATTAAAAAATATTAAAGAGGAGAGCTAAAGTGAAATGGAGGTGCTTATGATACTTTTGCTTAATATCCAAAACATTTTTTTCTCCTACCAGGATATTTGTCATCATATTACTTGTCATCAGCATTGCATGGGTTCCATTAGTACAAGTATCTCAAAAAGGACAGCTGTTCCATTACCTATCATCAATTTCCAGCTACCTTGGGCCTCCAATTGCAGCTGTCTTCCTGCTTGCCATCTTTTGTAAAAGAGTCAACGAACAAGTAAGCAAAAACTGGGAAAAAATTTTCCTGCCAGAGTGAGAATTATTGTTTCTTTGGCTGAGATAGCAAAATACATTGCAACTTTCATAAAACTGCTTTCATAAACTTGTGCTCATGATTAGCCCTTTATTTGTCATTAGTTGAGAAAGTAGGCTGAATGATAATCATGATTTACTTGATTGATTCGTCATCTTTTCTAAACATTGATTTATCATTATTTCCTTTGCAGGGAGCATTCTGGGGTCTAATAATTGGACTTGTGATAGGCCTTATTCGTATGATCGCAGAGTTTGCCTATGGAACAGGGACCTGCTTGGTTGCCAGTGACTGTCCCAAGATCATCTGTGGAGTGCACTATATGTATTTTTCCATCATTCTCTTCTGCTCATCCTTACTGGCCATCCTGGGGATTTCCTTTCTAACGAAACCCATTCCTGATGTACATGTGAGTATTGGGTAATGGCATTGTAAAATAAGAGTTCTTTGCCTTCTTAAGTGACAACTGGTTCACAAGTCTCAGGTCGATGAAATCATTGCACCACATAAAGTAGAAAAAAAGAGAGTATTGTCATCCTGTCATTCAACTAAACAACAATTTTCTGCCTTAGTATGTAAAAAGCACCAGTGATTAAGAATTAAGAGATTAGGAAATGGGCTAGAGAATCCCTAAACTTCAGAATGCTATTATTGGTAGGTAAATCTACACCATTGTTAAAGCATACCAGGGAGAAACACTTAGTGTTGCTTAAGAGTCAGGGATCTGTTGCCTAAAAGACTGTGACACCTAACAGCAGAACTCTCATCTGAGAGGAGCCAGTTTGGGGGCAAGTTGAATCTCATATACAATATAAACAAACACTGACAACAGAGATGAAAAAGAAAAAGCACATGGTAGCAGGGGGCAAGAAAAGGAAAAATAGAATGGCATTCATCTTTTGCCTTTCAAATAGATGAAAGTACCTAATATGAATATTGTACAATGTTGATGGGATGTGAAAGAATGCCCGCAGTCCAGAATTGCTGAGGGTGTGCATTTTATAATTTGCAATTGGGCAACATTTGTCAATTTTTAGATTTCTAACCTTATGAGTTAAGAATTTCATTTTTAGTAGCTTATGTAGAAAAATGTATAAAGGYAGGAAGCTTTTTGTAAAAGGATTTTCTCTGCAAATGTTTTCTAATAGAAAAAGTGAAGACAATCCATATTTCCACCACTAAAGGAATCGATACAAGATGAGGGAGCTTTGTTATTTGCTTTAAAAAATGTTTGTAAGGGGCTGTGGTTGTAACTCAGTGGTAGAACATTTGCCAGGCACATGTGAGGCACTGGGTTTGATCTTCAGCACCACATAAAAAAAAATAAACAAAATAAAGGTATTGTGTCCATCTACAACTAAAATATATTAAAAAAGTGCTGGACTCAGGAACTTAATAAAATGAACAGGGATTTAAAAAAATGTCTGTATTATGGCTAAATGGGAAAAACATATACAGAGTATTATACTACTGTCTAATATCATACTTGTAATAAAACACACATAGGAATAAATGTCTTCATCTATGCATAGAAAAAATCTTGACATGCTCACATCTGAAGTTTTTAGCAATTATCTCTGGAAGGGGGGCACTATAGGGACACAGAAAATATTAATCACTTAAAAATATGAATAATTTAAATACTAATGTTGATTGAATTTATTACTAACATGTATATTTTTATTTTGCATCATCAATTAATCAACATTWATCTTAAATAATATATATTTTATATTTCCTTGAGAAGTGACCAGTAGATGCTATGTGGATAGGTAAACTTAAGCACAGAGTAGGTGAAATTAGTTTACCAAAGAAATGTCACCAGAATTCATCACCAATATTTACACTGAATATTGGGCATTAAATGTTTTCATAGACAGCCATGAAATGTGTTGTTATGTACCTAACCTGTTAGAGCAGTAGTGAGATATTCCAGTTTTGGAGGAGAAATCTAGAATAAAATTGATGCAACTAAGAAGAATTCAAGGAGTCCAAGGAAAAGAGCTTTACAAAGAAAGTGGATTTAATCTAATAAAAGAAATGCTATGAATAAGAGCTTATAAAGCTATGATGAGAAATCATTGTGATAAGGTGAAAGCATATATTTCTGTGTCAATAATAGGTTAGAAAGCCAATTACAAAAATTTTGTAAATTGGTACAAGAAAGTTGTGAATTATATTAAATGATGCATTATTTTGAGAATATGACTTTAAATTTAAAAACCTATTGATAATTGGAACAATTTCCTTAGCATGACACAAGGTTGGTGTTTATTCTTTGTATCTAATCACATAACTTGGATCTGTGACCAATAAAAAATGATAGCACATATGTTATTTATTTTCAATTTCTTAATCAACATAACAGAATAAGTGTAGGTATCTTACTTATATTACAGAAATAAATTAAATTAAATTCTACAAAACAGTTTAGAGTACTGGTATAGTTGACAGAAGTTTGCAGGTGAGTTACCAAAGGCTAACAAGGATATTAATTGCAATTAGAACTTAAGAACAACACATAGATGCTATCTAAATCCAATGGATCAGAAATACAATGTCAGAAAATATTTTTAAAATTATAAACTATGATATAGCTATTAGAAGTTGGATGATAGGACAATGAATGAACAAGGGGCATGGTATATGTTAGCTAAATCTTTTATTTTTTTGGAATCACAAATTCAGAAGTGGGAGCTCTAAGAATATATTTTGGAGTTTTGAAAATCTGCTAGAATAATTATAAGTAAAAATGTTTTAGTGAGTGAACTTGGTAGGAGGCCTTTTTTATTTTATGACATACACTCTTGTTAAGTTTGATTTTTTAAACCATACACTAAATAAGGGTACAAATGGATTATTGGGAACATTTTWCCATCACTAACTTACTTGGGTATCTCTGGTCAGTTGTATCGCCTGTGCTGGGCTCTTCGGAACAGTACAGAGGAACGAATTGATTTAGATGCAGAAGAAATAAGGCATGAAGAATCTGACACTGAGGAGGAAGGTAATGTCTGGCTTACACTTGGTTTTTATTAGTTTACCAAAGAAATGTCTGCGTGCATGGCTTGGTTTAGGGTGAGATTTTTTTTTTTAAATGCCATGAAATTCAGCTTCTGAAAAAGCTATTCAATTTGTGGCAAACTGAAACTTTACAATTTCATCTTTTCAGCAAACAATACAACTAGTTGTTACATATGTAATCTATTCATTCATCTGCCTGTCCATCTATCTGTCCATCCATAATAATGCATGGCAGTTGCTAAAATGATAATTACAAACTTTTCTGTTTTTAGTTACATGTTGTTTTCAACAAATTCATTTTGATTGATTTTGCTTACGTATCTAAACCTACCTGCTCCCCAACCTTACCTCTCACTGTTTTCTTCAACCCAAGTAGGCAGGTTACCTCACTTTCCCCACATGCATCATGTCSCCCTAGAATATTTCTACCTCCTGTACAAAAGAAAAAAGTATTTCTAAAATCTAAGTTCTAATTGCACTTCCTTTAGGAATATGAAGGAAGAATCCTTCACTATGGCTTTGATTAYCTCATGCTTTTTAAAACTACTGACAAGATTTATCATGTCAAGATATATTGTCTTGAACTGTACACTAATTCTTTAGTTTTGATTTAGTTTCTTTCAATTTAAGAAAGGACCAATGTCTTCTATTTCTTTTGGCTGTTTATATCAGTACTCCTGTGATAAGACTCACCTGTAATTTTCCTGTATTGTACTTGGTTTTAGTGTTAAGATCAGTGTTCTCAGAATAAATAAAAAGTAACATTTTTTAATTTTATGAAAATATTTTAATAAAATTGGAGTGGTATCCACATTGAAATTTTAATATTMTGCCAGAAATAAAATTAGGGATTTCTGTGTGTGTRTGTGTGTGTGTGTGTGTGTGTGTGTGTGTGTGTGTGWGWGWGWGWGAGAGAGAGAGAGAGAGAGAGAGAGAGAGAGAAAGAGAGAGAGAGACATGAACAGAGACAAATGGAAAAAAGAGAGAAACTTCTGAACTACTTATTAACTTTATATAATGGCTATAGAATTTTCATTTCTTCATTAATCTATTCTGGAAAGTTACATACTTTTAAGATTGTGTCTGTTTAGTACACATCTTAAATATATTGGCATAAAGTTATTCTATATATTGTTGTTTTCATTTATTCTGCCTCTGTACTTATATTTCCTTTTAAATCCTAATATAATTTCTGTGGTTTTTTTCATGATAAATCCTACTAAAGACTAGCCTATTTTACTTTAATCAAAGAACAAATTTTATATATATTTCTATTCTTCTTCTTTCATATTTCATTACATTCTGATCTCATTTGTGTATTTTTCCATCTATATTATTTGAATTTACTCTATTAACTATACTTGCTGACTTCAGTTGAATATTATTTCATTAATTTTTAGGCTATCTTATTTTCTAATGTAAAAACATTGGAAGATGTATAAATTTCCCTCAAAGATACTTTTGTTGCATCTAATGGATTTATTTTGTATACTTTTCATTATCACTTATTTCTAAGTATAGGAATTATAGTCTTACTTTCATTATGATTTTTAAATTTCCCAATGCTGCAAGATAGCTTTGTAAATAAGTATTTTTGTAAATCTGCCAATATATTGTTGGGATAGGTTTTAAGAGATTTGTGAGGTCAAAAAGCCAATGTAATTTTGCTATATTCTCCAATTTCTACTTCTTTGGACTTAAACAGTATTTTTCTTACCTGATTTAAAAATATCACAAATAAATTATAAGGAAGCTTTCCCCTCACAATGAAATAGTAGGAAGGAAAAATTGTCCTGGACCATGTGCACAGAGGGAGAAAGTAGACTTATTTATGCAGTTGTGTGATACTAATTCATTGGTATTTTACATAAGACAATTCCTGTTTCTAYGTAGACTTAACATGTAACTTTAAAATTTTGCCTTTGATTGATGGGAAGTGGCATTTCAGCAAGTTTTCATTTAAATTTCTCTTTTTTGAGTGAGCTTAAGAGCCATTTTTTATTTTTATTTTTTGAACTGTTTCTTCATCTCTTTAGAATGTTTACATGAGAAAGTTGATGGACTTTTCCGATTTTTAGAAACTCATTTTATACTATGGATATTCGTACCTTTCTAAAACAACATGCCAATGCTTTCCCCAATGTTCTTATTTTGTTTATTGGGCTTTTACCATGCAAATTTTTTGTTTTCACATAACCAAATTTAGCTACTTTCTCTATGATTTCTTCCAACATTCATATGTTGTTATGATTTTTTATGGTCATATGTAGAGCATTGACAAGGATTTCTGTTTTCCATGTTTTATGATGATTTCTTCATCTTTTTTTGTTGTTTCAGATCATCCTGAGCAATCCCGTGGATGTCTCAGGAAGACATATGACTTATTCTGTGGTTTGCAGAAGGCAGGGCCCAAACTGACCAAAGAGGAGGAAGAAGCCTTAAAGAGGAAATTGACAGACACATCAGAGAAGCCCTTGTGGAGGACTGTACTGAACATTAATGCCATCCTCCTGCTAGCTGCAGCGGTCTTTATCCATGGTTATTTTGCCTGACCTCTTGCTGAGCCACTAGAATATTGGCTAGGCAAAGGATAATTTTATTGATTTTCACTTCTAAGTTTGTTGTGTTGCAAAATGGAAAKCAGTTGGACATTTATCTAATTAGATAATTATAGACCAGATTTTTTTGCTTTTATTATTCCTTTGTATTGATTAGGTCTAAATTCTTTTTTTCAACTCAGAATTTGATATATATGTAATAYACATACTTATCTTCAAATGATTACCAAGTCAAGTTAATTACGGTACCAGTCGAGAGTCATCTATTGTGCATTTGTAGCGATTAACAATGAAGAGCTATTCAGCAACTTCCAGTACACCAGAGTATTTTTAAATATGGTCAACGTGTTGTATCTTCAATACTTTGAATTTATTCATCTTACTTCTGAAAGCTTGAGAACTTTGATGAACAACTCCTTATTTCAAGAGTTTTCTTGCCCTGCAGACTTTAACATTCTGTGTCCATTGGACTGCAGGTAAATCACCAATAAATTAGGTCATACATCTGCATAAATAAGCCAACCTTTTCCCATATGTGTATAGTCCAGGACAATTTCTCCTTCTTACTATTTAACTAGGAGGGTCAATCTGCCATATGTGTCTGCATTTATAAACATTTGTAATGTAGTTGTAATGTTCCCCCACAGAGGAAATGAACATAAATATGACAATAGTAGATGAACTAAAAAGTTTGACCTTGTCTTTATTGGAACTCTATATATTTCCAAATTGTCTTTTTAAAACATAGGAACAATCTCACTTCTAGAAATGTTGTGTAATTCACCTACATTCACACAGCCTGATAGTAGTAGAGCTTAGCCAGAGCTCCACTTTCCCAATTTTGACATCAGGTGACTTTCCACAAAATCTAACAGCCTATTTTGTATTGTGTGGGTTCCAGTATTTAACTCTGAGACAAATGGATTGGGCTGGGTATGTCATATTTAGGTTTAAAAATGTCTGTGGAATTACTATGTAATCGATAAGCCACAGAATCCTGCTTTTTTAATTAAAAAAGAGAAAGAACAAAAAATTAAAATTGAATTTGTTTCTTTTCTTACATAATGCTTATTTTATCCCTGATATACCATTTTTAACAGATTTTAATTGCTACATATTAATTATATTGAAAGGCAGGGTTCATTCCCCTCACAACCTCTTATATGTAATTTTGTATAACAATGAGGGTCTCCTTCCATTTCCATGCAATTTCCCTTGAGGGGAATGGGAAAAACAAGGAGAGAAATGAATTACAGTAGATGGGGTAGAGAGAGAAGATGGGGGGGGGAGGGGGGATAGTAGAGGATAGGAAAGGTAGCAGAATACAACAGTTACTATTATGGCATTATGTAAAAATGTGGATGTGTAACCGATGTGATTCTGCAATCTTTGTAATGTTTTGAATAACCAATAAAAAAAAAGAAAGGCAGGGTTCACTGTGGCAAATTTGGGCATAGAAACATAATTTGATCAATTTCACTCCTCAGTATCTCCATCATACACTTTACCTCTCTCCCCCRATCCCCTTTATTTACCCTAATAGTCTTTCTTCTATTCCATGATGCCCCTTTATTCCCTTTCCTTCCCCTCTAGCTTTCACATATGAGAGAAAAAAATTTGATTCTTGTCATTCTGAGTTTGACTTATTTAACACAACACGATCTCTAGTTCCATTTATGCAAATTACGTAATTTTGTTCTTTATGGCAGAGTAAAACTCCATTGTGTGTGTGTGTGTGTGTGTGTGTGTGTGTGTGTGTGTGTGTATATATATAATCACATTTTCTTTGTCCATTCATCTGTTGATGGATACCCAAGCTGATTCCCTAACTTGGCTAATGTGAATTGTGCTGGGATAAACATGGTGATGCATGTATCTCTATAGTATACTGACTTCATTTCTTTTGGATAAATTATGAGGCTAGTATAACTGGATCATATAGCAATTTTATTTTTAGCCTTTTGAGGCACAGTCAAACTGATTTCCATAGCGATTGTCCTAATTTACATCCTTACCAACAGTGCATAAGGATTTATTTTCCCCTGAAGCTTCTTATCATCACCAGCATTTATTATTTGTATTCTTGATGATTGTCAGTGTGACTGGAATGAAATAGAATCTCAGTGTACTATTGATTTGAATTTCTCTGGGAAGTTAGAGATGTTGAACATTTTTCATGTAATTGTTGGCAATTTGTACTTCTTTTGAGAAATGTCTGTTTAGTTCATTTGCTCATTTATTGTTTTGTGTTTTTGTTATTGTTGAGTTATTTTAGTTTCTTATGTATTCTGGATATTAATCTGGCCAGAAGAGTAGCTGGCAAAGATTTTTTCCTATTCTGTAGATTTTCTCTTCACTCTATTATATCCTTTTCTATGAAGGAGCTTTTTAAATTGATGTCTCCCCACTTATTTTTATGATTCTTTTTAGTTATGTATAATAAGGGTACATTTTAAAATAATCACAATAGCATGGAATATAATTCACTCTAATTCAGTCCCCAATGCTTCCCCCTCCCCATCTCCACTCTCCACTTGCTTCCCCCTCCCCATCTCCACTCTCCGCTTCCCCTGCCTTCCACTCCACTGATATTTCTACAATTTACTTATAGTTTTTTTAAAATTAGTGTCTTGTGGATATATTTGATTTTGAGATTTGTTGAGGTATATTCATGTTGAAAGTTCAGTCAGATTCATTCCACTATTCTTTTCTTATCCTGTCATTCTTTCCTTCCTCAATCTCCTTCACCTGATATTTCCTTTATTTTGAAGGAATTTGTCCCTCACCTTTCTCTATTTTTCCCCTTATGTTGTATTAGCTTCTATATATCAGAGAAAACATTTGACATTTGACTTTTGGGGACTGCCTTATTTCACTTAGCATCGTAGTCTCCAGTTCCATTCATTTACCTGCAAATGTCATAATATCATTCTTCTTTATGACTGAAATAATACTCCATTGTGTATATATAGACTACATTTTTTTTCTATTCATGTGTTGAAGGGAATCTAGCTTTGTTTCATAACTTGGCCACTGTGAATTATGCTGCTACAACCATTGAAGTGGCTGCATCATTGTAGTATACTGATTCTAAATCTTTTGAATATAAACCAAAGAGTGGGATAACTGGGTCATATGGTAGTTTCATTCCTATTTTTGTGAGGAATCTCCATAATCTTTTCCACAGTGGTTACTCTAATTTGCAGTACCACCAAAAATGTACGAGTGTCCCTTTTCCTACACATCCTTACCAACATTTATTGTTATCTGTATTCTTGATATTTGCCATTCTGACAGGAAGGAGATGAAATCTCCATGTAGTTTTGATTTGCATTTCCTTATTTGCTAGAGATGTTGAAGATTTTTAAAATATATTTGTTGGCCATTTGTATTTCTTCTTTTGAGAAGTGTCTGTCTAGTTATTTTGACATTTATTGAGTTATTTGTTTTTCTGGTTTTAAGTTTTTTAGGTTACTCATATATTCTGGATATTATAATGCCCCATCTGAGGAGCAGGTGGCATGGTTCTTCCATTYCGTCACTTCTCTCTTCATGTTCTCACTTATTTTGTTTGCTGTGCAGATGCTTCTAATTTTTATGCCATACCAYTTATTTTGATTTTATTTCTTGCACTTTAGGAGTCTTCTTAAGGAAGTTGGTTCCTGTGCTGACATGCTGAAGTGTTGGTCCTACATTTTCTTCTAGAAATTACAAAGTTTTTGATCTAACTCCTAGGTCTATGATCCACTTTGAGTTGACTTTTGTGCAGAATGAGAGCTGGGGGTCCAATTTCATTCTTCATGTGGATTTTTAATTTTCCCAGTACCATTTTTTCAAATGTTATCTATTCTCCAAATATGTTTTTGGCACCTTTGCCAAGTTATCAGATAACTATATTTATTCATGTTTGCCTTTGTGTCTTCTATTCTAGTCCTTTGGTCTTCAGTTCTATTTTGGTGACAGTACCATGCTGTTTTTGTACTGTAGCTCTGTAGCATAATTCAAGGTCTGGTATCACTCTTTTTACTCAAGATTTCTATGGCTATTCTGAGTMTCTTATTTTGCCAAATTAATTTCAGATCTGCTATTGCTGGTTCTGTGAAGAATGTCATTGGTATTTTGATGGGGTTCCATTGGATCTCTTTGTGTAGCACTTTCGGTTGTATGACCATTTTGACCATTTTAATTCTGCTTACCTAAGAACATGGGCAGTCTTTCTAGCTTGTAAGGTATTTAATTTCTTCCTTTATTATTCTATGGTTTTCATTGTAGAGTTCCTTCACCTCTTTTGTTATGTTGATTATTAAAACTTTTTTTAGATTATTGTGAATTCGATAGTTTTCCTAACTTCTTTTTCAGCAGATTCATTGTTGGAGTTAGAATAGATTTTCTATGCTGATCTTGTATCTTGCTACTTTTCCAAATTTGTTTATCAGCTCTAGGAATCTTCTGGTGGAGTTTTATGGTCTTCTAAATATTGGATTATGTTTTCAGCAATCAGAAATAGCTTTCCCTATTCTTTTTTCTATTTATTTCCCTTTAATTTCCTTTTCTTGCCTGATTGCTCTGTCTAGAGTTTCAAGGACTATCTTGAATAGGAGTGGTGAGAGTGGATATCCTTATCTAGTTCCTGTTTTTAGAGGAAATGCTTTCAGTTTTTCTTCATTCAGTATGATATTCTCCTTGGGTTTGTCATATATAACCTTTACAATGTTGAGATGAGTTTTTTATAACCTGAATTTCTCTAATATTTTAAATATGAATGGGTCCTAGACTTTGTCAAATGCTTTTACTACATATATGGAGATAATCATGTGATTCTCATACTTAACTCTATTTATGTGCTGAGTTACATGTATTGATCTCCATATGTCAAACTAAACTTTCACCCCTGGGATAAAACCAACTTGATCATGATACACATCTTTTAAATGTGTTTTTGTATGTGGTTTGCCAAATTTTTATTAAGAGATTTTATGCATCTATGATCATCA